ATTTACTGTAGCTATCCAAAGCCCTTCAACTACAGGCAGACAAAAGTGCCTGGAGAAGTCATGGTAGTAAAAATTTTCTGATTTCTCTAGTAAGACTATCTGACAGAGAATGTAGTTCCTAGCCTTGACTCTTTTATATGAATTCCTGAATATAAATGCTGCTTTTAATCTCTTATCCCCAAGAGTCAGGATTTCCCTAGCAAAATAGCAGTGCAAAATGAATTGGCACATACTATTCCAGAATCCTGTTCATTGATGTCAAGGGGTAAAAAAGAGAGGAAAATAAATTTAAATTATTTAAACACAATTGTGACTAATATTTACATATCGATGTGCAGCTGAGTGCACTTTATAAAAGACTATATAATGGATTAATGCAATATCTTTGATAAGGACTTAATATGAAGGTAGGGTGTACTCATGTTCCTTCTTGAACACAATCTCTTTAGAGTTATTTGAAAAGACTGCATAATGTAATGTTTTCTGTGTTTGGAAATTAGAGCAATAATCTTTCATCTTTTTAAAAATAAACTTCAGAAAACTCAAGGCCAGGCACTGCTGTCTGAATCAGAATTTTGCAGTCTTTTTGTGAATAAATTTTGTAAATATGATCTTTAAGATATTGTATTATATATTATGACTTTTGTAGATCACTAACTCATTTTTGCAGAGTTTGTGAAGCTAAATATTTAACAAAGTTGATTTCTGTAAACTAAATGTAGTTGAGGTCTAAATAGTTTTTTTTTTTTTTTAATTAAATTTAATGTCTTTGAATCTGGGTGACTTTGGCCCACATCTTTCCCTCTTCTTTGGTCTTTGACACATCATTTATTTTTACATCTTTAACATACTATAAAAGACCAGTTGTTAAATGCTTTCTCCACCTGTGAGCACTTTGTTACATTTCTTTTTACATAAGGCAATTTTACAAAAAGACTCTGCATTGTAAAATGTTATGACGTGTCAAGACAGTCATAGCCTATATGTTGCCTTTCCAGTTGATGCGTCTGGATTATGTCTTTTTTGGTCAATGTTAATGAACTCTGAATGTTCTGCAGAAGAGGTCTGTCTGTTGGAAAGTGTTCGTTGTTACAGGACATGCAGAAATCATGTAGGTTATCACGTCACACTTCAACCAAATGTCTGCACCTCATTGGATTGTTCTTAAAGTAATGAATGTATTTTCTAAGCAGGTTTCTCTCATATCAGTATTTAAGTTTGGTTACAAAATTAGTCATACTGCTTGCTGATAGATGTTTTATTTCTCTGTTTTGGTTCCCTGAATGAAGATCCTATGGCAGTTTTTTCCAGTTTCAGGCAGTTGCAGCAAGTTGTGCTTCTGTGAGGGGTGACCAGAAATGGTGCTGATGGGCAATGCTCTAGTTTGCTTTTTCACTGGGTAATGAAAAACTGACCTCTCCCAACTGAGTAAAGAAAGAAACCCTCTGTTCTTTATTGCTTTTTCCAGTACTGTAAGCAGGAGGTGGCGTCACTTTTCAGCATATTCAATGATCTTCCATTTTGTTCCAAAGGGAATATAGATTCAGTCAATCTACCTTATGCAACCTCATCTTTGCAATTAATACTGAGTATATAGGTTAGGTGATAGTATTTATTTGAGACCTTTAGTCCTACTCCTGTGTACTTTTTTAAATGCAGAACTTTTAGAAGGAACTTCCGTCTCCTTTCTATGTCTTAGAACACACCTAGTAGTTGAGTGCTGTCTACTCAAGTAAGCTGAAAGGCAGCAATACCTTGTTTTTTTACATTAAATCAACCAATCTAGTTTGTAGCTGTTCATTATGTTGATGGTAGCTGCAAATCCTGATTGCTTTCCTTAGGTGCTTTCCTCTTTGCCTATATACTACCTTATCCATTGTGCCCTTATAACCTTTTTCCAGGAGTGATTCTATTTACACATCTGTGTACAGCTGGCTGCTGTCCTAGTGGAGCATCACTGCCTCATCCCTGGTTAGAACGTTTGAGCTTGCCAATACCTACTTTTTTGCTGAATCCAAAGAATTTAGTTTAAACTTGATTAAGGGGGAGCAAAAGGCCTTTTTAAAGTGCATTGATGAATTTTTCCTTGGCAACACTGATTCTGATTATTATATCTAGTTTGAAAAGATTATCTATTGCAGTAAATAAAACTTTACTTGAAATTTGTTGGCATTTAGTATCTCCACAAACTCTGTTTTGATTCTACAACAACAGTTTTCTGAATGTTTCTTTAAAAAAGAAAAAAAGGAAAAAAAACAACAACAAAAAACAGCTCCAGGGTTTCTCAGCAAAGACCAGTTAGTTACTACAACCACCTCTGATCACGGTTGCATACAGAACATGATTTTGCTACATGTCTTTGTTATTCTTTTTATGGCAGAAAACATCTTTTTATAAAAAAAAAAAAACACATGTAATGTTTTTTATCCATGTTTGTTCTAAAATTATGCTTTTAAAGTTAGGCAATCGGGAACATTTTTTCAGTTATAATAGTTTCATTCAAAACTATTTGAATGTTTTACCAATTAGCACACATTTTATTTTAGAGTTTTATGTGCAGGCTACCAGGTGATAGATGCTACAGCAAGTATGAAATCATGTAATTCTGAGAGCAATATTTAAAAAAAAATCTCAGGAGAAGGCATACAGTATTGAGAACTGCATTTAAGCATAGTTTACATTAAATTTTGCTTGGAATATCTGTATCTTTATTTTGCAAAACAGAAAACCATGGGGACTGATTTTCTAAGAGCTGGTTGTAAGGTATTACTGCTCTTCTGATTTTTGTGTTTGGATGTTAATAATAATGTAAATAAAGGTTTCTATTTAAAATCAGAAGTTGGTGACATAGTGTAATAGCTGTCTAGTATTTTAATACTGATAATAGTATCTCGAAAGCTGGGAGAAAATCCTGTATTACAAAGAATGCTGTAGTTATGACAGGCTGTAAAAGCTGGAAGTTTTAATGGCTTGAACCTTCTGCCTGTGAGACATTTAACAACTAGATTTGTGTGTACAACAAATTAATAGGCTTTTTTTTTCAACCTTAAACAGCAAGAGTGGTTGCTTTTCCATCTTCACTTGATAACCATCTACCTTTCAGAAAATAAGTTTCTCCCTGTATAACATAATAGCCCAGCAGCTCAGTGTTTGGCCTGCATACCAAGGAGCGCAGGAACTTGTCGTCGTGCAACAGGAGCAGCAGTGGTGGCCTTGCAGGATTCAAATATTCACACCTCCCCTTGGCAAAATCGTTAGACTGAACATAGAGAAAGGTAAGTCAAAAAAAACCAAAACAAAACAAAACAAAACACCTCTAATCTGGTATTCTTTCTGCATGCTGATAAGTAGTGGTAGACAGCTAATACTTTTCTCTGTAAAGCATTAAAAATGTGTTTCTAAAAGTATGTTTTCTATATGAATAACTTATTTTTTTACTTCATATTGACCCAGGCTGTCATCATCTAGCAGATATTTCTTTGCTGATCATCCACTAAATCTGTAACAGGTTATAAACAGAAGCTATGGTTAGATTCGGAAACACAGTCAGATATTATTTCTGTGATTAAAAAAATAACTGTCAGGAAAATTTTGGAAAGTATATTTGACGCATTTATGTGTGATACAAATACAAGCTCAAACCTAGTTTTACTGTAACACATACAATAAAAGAACCCAGTTGCCACTTTTTGAGAGGTTTTTTTTTTTCCTCAGTTCATACATTCAGCTATATTTTTCATGTATAGGTATGTGGTATCAGACAGCTCTATGCCCAGTTAAGTAATTCAACTTGAGTTTCTAACCTCAAAAAGCAGAATGGAAAATATAAAAATAATTTCCTTTATGTATTTTTATACTGTTTTTAGAAGTTCAAATTAAGTTCATATTTTGAAGAAAATGTATCTCTTGGTGTTAAGAGGCAAGGCCACGGTTGGTTGAGTCTTTTCTATTTTAAATACTCACTTCAGAAAACGTAGGTACATCTCCCAAGCCACATAGAGAAGATCATATCTAAGGTTGCAGGCTACTGAAAGGAAAAATAGTAACTTGACATGTGAATTCCCTCTTGCACGGACCTCAAACAGGTGACCTAATAACATGGGAAAAATAATAAATACAAAGATCTCAGTGTTAGTGCCTGTGCTACAGTGTGTTCAATAACCTTCTCTTTATGGAAAACACTCAAGTAGACTCTGCATGCTGTGCTGCTTGTGGAGAATGGTCTTTATCTAAAACAATAACTCTTATTAGGAAGATCTACTTTTCTGTAGACTGAACTATACTATAATATTTTATTGGCCACAAGAGTATTGAACTGGTTGGAGCTCTGTCTTTCTTTTAAAACTAAATATAAAAGTTAAACTACTAAGCAAATATTGTTTTCTCAAAGGAATTGTTTTGGTTTTGAACATACAATATAATACTGCCACATTAAAAGACTTGATACAAATCTGATTTCATTAAAATTTAAGACATACATTTACTGAAACTTCTCCGTAAAAAAAAAAAAAAAAAAAAAGGATGAATTCTGAGATGGTCTATGTGACATTAAGTAACATTTTGAGAAATAGTATGTGGACATTCCACACTTTTTATTAACAAAATTCTTCACAACGTGAAAGAGTTTATTTCCCAACAGTATATCGATCAGTATGTACAGAACCCTCCCCCCCAAAATCTGGGTTCCTGTTAGTCAAGATTTTCTCTAGAGTTCCTAGAGGTGTCAATAGGACGGACAAATAGACATTGAACTAAAACGTATCCTCAGAGGAAATTGGAGAAATGTTGAAAGTATTCAGTGCTGCTCTCTTAAGAGTTCCTTTCCACCATTACCTACGCTCCAGTTAGGGCAGAAGTGTCCATGGTTTCTGAATCTTGCCTTGCACTTAGCCTTGGCTTTGAAGTTTTCCTCACGGCGTTTGAAGTAGAGCAGAGCCAAAAAGCACTTGGAGTTTCCTCCCGCAGCCGTGTCGCTGTTCTTGGCTGTGCCTGCCGGGATGGCAGTCCTCTTTGGGATGCAGCTGCATTTCCTCTTCTGTCAACTCCTGGACTAGTGTTTGTTAGTGGTGACTTCTTTTGTAAATGCCTTGTGAAGCAGGTGAGGTATAATCCAAAGCAAAAAGCAGGTATAATAGTGGATTTCAGAGACTTGTATTCCTGACAGCAGTTCCCAAAATTTCACGGCATCTATTTAATTCACTGAACAGTGCAAACACTCTATCTATTTGAGCTTCAAAAGTTCATCCAGTCCTCCAGGCTAGCATTATAATTCTTTCTGAATTCATACGTGTTTTTGTTTAGTCTGTACATGGATTCAAGTTCTGGCCAGTTCATATCCTCACTGATATCCTCTCTCCAGCAGCTGGGGAGATTAGCCCTCCCATCCTTCCCACAGTTGTCCTCTTTAAAATAAAACAAAGAGGATTTAGTGCATAACATGCTAGTAGGAAGTAACTGTATATATACTTAGAGCTCCATGCAGGAAAAAAAAACAAAACAAAAAAACACTACAAGTGGTCCACAATGTTTCAGAAATACTGTATATGTATCACAGAACCAACTCTGTTTGGAACTTTAACCTGTGCAAAATGTGTACCTTATTAATTGTAACTCCATTTGAGCTCTGTCATTTATATATGATCTAGGTATGTAAATGATATAGGTATCATTTCAACTAGAAATAAATACTACAACTAAATTAGCAATTCCTTTTGGAGGAACTGAGAATACCAGACTGTACCTATGAAGGTGCTTGTGCATATTTTTTTCACTACAGAATTTGAAAATGTGTCTTTGAAAAAGAAAAGATTCAGAAGCAGGGTAATTGGCAAGTCAGAGCAGCCCATGAACTGTTTTAATTGTCCTGGCAGCTTTACATTTTTATCTCACCTTTGGGCTCTGAAAAGTTCAGAACTGACAAGCAGTACACTAAGTAAGTTAGAATGTCTTGCAGGTTTTCAAGGGCAGTAAAATAAGCATAAGCAAATATGGGGTTTAGTATAATGATAAAAATCACTCAAAATAAACAGATCTGTGTGTTTCTGTACAAAGCCTTTATGTTCTGGCTTGTTTCCTTTGCTCACAACATATGAGGAGGCTGTGGTGGCACAAACAGCAAGCAAACACACACTACTCTGCCCCAGGAAACTGACACCACGGTTTACCACTTTTAGCTGGTGTGACTGCTAGAGAGATCCTGCAAGTTTAAATTTAGACATTACCATCTCCAAATTTTAAGGGCAGTTAAGCATAACTAACTGGTTTCTTCAAGTGAGAGTTCACCCTTGCTTCAGTTCAAAGTTGCCCCAGATTGCAGGGATGTGCACGAAGAGGCTTTGCACAGCACTAGCAGGTCATAGAGATGACACTACCTCATTTTACCTCAGGTAATAATGTTAAAAATGTGCTGCATGCAAGAAAAAAAAAAAAAGATGCTAGGGAGAAAAAGGTAAGTAAAAACTAATGCTTTTCATAAACTGCCTCCAACTCACAGTGACTTGGAAGATGATGGTCTCTTCACATCTGGCCATTTTCGACGCTGAAACTGCCTAATTTTCAAGCAGCAAAAGGAGAAAAAGTTAACCATCACCAAGAAAACCCCAAGCACTACAGTCTGAAATAAGGGAAAGAAGAAGAATTTAGTCTAAATTTCGACTAAGACAACTAGAACATGCTGTAACAGTGAAACAGGAATACCTACAGCGTTCCGAAGTAATCAGGCAAAGATCTTGCAAATGCAGTTCCTGTCCGCTTGGTTCCCAAACCCACATTCCTAACTCTTTAGCATTAAAGTGTTATTTATGAGTTAACTTTTTTAAAAAAAGATGAATACCTGTATTGCTCATAGCTTCCATCTTTAAGCCCTAGGTAAGGAAAAATTAACAATGTTACAAGCATTGCCTGGAGAATAAGGTATCAGGTAAAGTGCAATTTTTAATACAAAGAGCTAACTTGTATTGCCATGATAAACGTTCGCATAACAGTTCTAGTGAACATGTATTTTTTACTTAATTCCTTATCTAGGTAAAATATATTGCAATTTGGTATAAGAGGCCCCTGTGAGCTTGAATTATGCCATGATTCTATGACTTGTATTCTGTGTTACTGTATTTTTTCACCCTTTAATCAGATTTGTTCCTCTCTAATATCCTCCTGCCCCACCACACCAGGGTCTTACGCTTCAGGCTGCTGCTTGGCTAATGTTTCCAGAAACTGATGTTTAACACATGTAACAAACCCAAACCCTGAACGTGGAGCCATCAGCCTCAGCAGGACACTGATAAAGAACTGCTACAAATTCCTTCTTGACAAGCAAGAGCCCCCCTTCTTTTGAGGGAGTTTTGGAGCGTAGTGGGAAAGGCACTCACCCAGCTCCATGTTCCTCGTTCGTGGGTTGCACTGTTTGTATCCTTTGCAGCTTCTCAGTTCCATGAGCTGGACGTGCAGTTGATTGAGAACATCTCGATCTAGCGTATTCACTGCGTTAATTAGCTGGCAATAAAGAGCAGTTCTTGTTAGAGAACATTGTTACATGGTTCGGGATCTTTCATATGTAGAATCCATGTGTGGTTTACTTCCACCAAAAAAGCCACCAGAATTTACATTAAATGATTAATGCTAATGTACATCTTGCAGCAATACTGTGCTGTTTCACTGTAACACCAATAAACAACGCTGATGTGCTACGCTACTTACAAATTAGAGTTGATAATCTTAAGCCTCATCTCAGTGGGCAGCCAGGACCCTCAGGATTTTATCAGACTCCAAAACCAGAAATAGGCAACACAGAAAAGCTGTTTTCAGAGCTCGGTAAATGGGTACAGTATTAGGTTTATATGTCTGGGGTAAAGGTTTAGGAAACTGCTATAGGAACAGCACTGTCAGTGACAGCCACTAACTGTCCCCTGTGACTGAAGAATGCAGAAGTGCTGCAACATATAAAACGTCTGGGTTTGACCTACTCATGATTTTTTTTTCTCTTTTTTTTTTTTTTTTGGTTGTTGTTGTTGAGATTATCTTTCTTGAACTGGGATCAATCAGTGCATCCACATTAGGTCAATAGTTATGGTTTGCACTACAACAACTCCTAGCAAATGCGTATTTAGCAACTCAAAAACAGTATCAATTCCTATTGCAGAAACATGTTAGAGTGTTAAACTTTGTTATGTCCAGAGCTGTTTTATGATCACGTACCTGGTATGGATCAGTATTGAGATCAAAATACTCCAAAAACCCCGTAGCAAATTCGCAGAACAGGAAGTTGTGGGTCTCGTTGATGGTCCTCAGGCACCAGTATGTGTTGTTGTTGGCACTGGTACAGGCACAGAAAGGGCCCACTGCAAATGAAAGTTTAGGTGTCACAAAGGCATAAGATACATGCTGGTGGTGTTAGACACGGGCACGTAGAAAATCATATTATTCCCAGACAGTTACTGTCTTCCTCCCAAGCAGGGGCTGCCTTCTGGCACTCAGGTCTTGTCTACCTCTACTTGTGGCACAGGACACACAACTCACTAGATCCCGACTGGGTGAGGTGCTTTTCCCTCTGTTTATTTCCCACCTGGGAAACTGCAGGTGTAAGTCACAGAATACCCCTAAGAACCAATATAGGATGGGACAAAGAAGAGCATTTGCTGTTCCTCAGTTAAAAACTGTCTGTTATCTGCTGGCTTTGAGTGGCAGCCTGGTTTTGTTTAACTGCCCCTGCCTTTATAGGGCGAAACCACAGTGCCAGCGCTGAAACACGGTTTACTGAGGATGAGGAAATTGTGGGGCTTGGCCTCGGCACCTACTGCTACTGTTACTGCTACCACCGCAGAATCCAGCGGAGCCGGGACCTGGCACCCACCTATTACTTAGTTTAGAGCAGCCTTACGTGTCCACAGCGGGGCAGTTTGCCAGTGCTGGTTGTCGTGGGTGAAGCAGGTGAGGCCGGGCATGCTGCACGTGTCGTTGTTCTTGAGCCTCTTCAGCAGTTTGCGCAGTTTCTTCTTCCGCCTCTGTTCTCTAAGCAGCCACAGCCTGTCTTTCTCCTGGAGGGCTTTCCTGCACACAGGAAACACTAGGGTCAGGCAGACTCTCTTAAACTTGTGCATCCCTAAAAAATAATACATCGCTAATAAAATAAGCAGATTTTAGGGGAAAAAAGTATTTGGAATTTTTAAATTAGTGGCCTGTCTTCCAAATGGCTCTAGAGATGCTTAGATTGTAGCTTGTGTTCATAGACCAAATATTTACATCTTTGCATTTCCTCTTTCAAGGGAGCATGACTGACTTACTTGAAAGGATGAAGATGAGATCCTCTATGTCTCAGTTTGCTTTTATGTTTGGAATGGTAACTGGAAAAAAAAAAAAAAAAACACTGTTAAATGACCAACAGAAGGACAGTTGTTCATCCCATATTACCACACTGCATTGGGCTTGGATTTGATCTCTTACCCCATCACCCTATTAGCCCATATACTTTACACATGACTATTAAACACGGCAGCACGTGGGTATTTTGTCCCTGGGGAAGCGCCCGGGTGCTGGAGCCGGTGCCTCGGCAGCCCCTGGCACGGGCAGTTCAACGGGTGCCCGGCTGGATCGCGGCTCCCGCAGAGCAGTGCAGCAATCCCGGCCGGCGGCAGCTCATGGAAACCCCCCGGCTGCTCTCCCGCCTGGCAGTGACGGGAACCGCTTCCGACCCGCGCAGACACGGAGCGGCTCTCGCGATGGCTCCGCACGAGCCCTCCGGAGATACCTGATCTTGTTGCAGTCACATTCTTCAGGCCTCTTCTTCTTCAGATGCCCCCTCACCTCTCTCAGGTTTTTGATTTTATTTTGCAAAGTCTCAATCTGAACAAAGGTAAAGATACTCATTAAAGAGAGGGATTAAAAAAAAATATCAGAGCATGATTTAGCCTTGTTCTACCTCTCTCCAGCCCCTTCTACTGCTATCAAATTCTTCTTTTCAGCACCTTCCACAACGCTCACCACTAGCAAGCATTTTCGGGAAACAAAGGAAATCTCTAGAGGAAATTACAGACAGGAGAAAATATGGGCTTTTTTGGAGAGGGAGAGGAGGACATACAGCTTTAGCTAGACAGATGCTACAGTTCCACAGATTTTCCTTCTTGCACAATTCAGGATAATTGCAAAGGCAGAAAGGTTACCCAACACAAACCAAAGCCCTTAAAGTTCAGCCTGTCACAGATCTGAAAAGCAACTAGAGAGGGTCCCAAGTCCCTCTTCTGAAGTGGCACGTTTCCATCATTCCACACGATGGTCTTTAGCAGCATTGGGCCACGCAGGAGCTGGATTAGCCACTCATTTAATTGTGCCACCCACTGTTTATTTTTAACCCCTAGTTCATGAGTCGATGAAACACCTGGTTCAGTCCAGCTCGTGGGCAGCCCAGGTCACCCACACGCGGGTGCATCCAGGCTTCCACCTGGGCTCTTTCCACAGCTGAAAAAGCAAAGTCACCCAGACTGAACAAAGCAGCTACTGCTGCTACCAGTGACTGTAGAACTAACGGACAAACCTGACTGACAACTAGAGAAGACTTCGAGAAAAACACTCCAACCCTCAGAGCCCGAATCAGGAGCCTGTAAGGACACACGTAGGGCTCCTTCTCTTGGGTGCTCCACGTAGCCTACATCTTCTGAAGTATGAAAGACTGGAACAGCACCGTGATATTGAGGACGTTTGATTTGCCCCTTTTGAAATGCTAGCAGAGCTAATATCTTTTTTTCAATCCCTGCCTTGTTACTTGCCAAGCCGTACTGTGAAGGCCAGCAAGTTCTCACACATAACTGTGTTGTGAATTCATGTGATGCATTCACCAGGAGAGCAAGAGAGGACCCTGTCTGTATGAAATCTCTACTCTGAAACCAGACAGCACGTTCAAAATGCTCCAGTGAGGTTTAGAGATCCCCAGAGGCAGACAGACCCCTGCAGAAACAGTCAGCATGATCCTGTCAGCCCACAGAAACCCATGCTAAAAGCACACACTGAAAATACGTGACTGACTGACGTGCTGACCTCGTGGTCAATATGAAGTTTATGGTCCTTCCAAGCTTGCAGTGACCTGTACAGATCTGTGTCACACTGAACAGTATCGTTCTCCAGGATATAGCACCTGGCAACAGGAAAAAAAAATGCATTTATTACTGCACACAAATCCCACCAATGCAAACAGCTGGTTTGAGTAACACAATTTGAGGACACATGGAAATGACAGGCAGAAGTCAGAAAAGGATCGCATATTCAAGAGACTTAGGAGAGCATCCTCAGAGCCAGGAAAGACAGTTGGTTTTGAGTAGCCATGGAAATTTTTCCAGGAGAAAAATGAGGGGGAGAATCTCCTTATCCCAGTCAAGTAGACCCTGTTGACTGTTTCATTCCTATATGTAACTTGTTCTGCACGGAGTTCCTGCTTATTCGTTAAGCTGCCTACATAAATAAGCTGTACTAACTAGCAGGCACTGAGAGTGGTGCTCAGAAGCAATTTCGCTATGCGTAATTAAGTGATGTGAGGAGTAGCAAGAAGAAAATGCTTCTTTATAATATGAATTAGGATATCACAAAGAAAAATAGGCAAATCTTGCAGTTTTCTATAAAAGGAATAACGTCCCCCCGACTCGCAAGGCTAAATGCCCTTTGAAAACATTAAGTTATTGTGTTTTACTAACTCCTAGTGCAAGTTTTAAGATTCCTTCAAAATATTGGCTTACATGATAAACTTAGAAGTTCATTAAGGGGCAAGAAATGTGTAGTCAATTCTGAGCACTTGCTTAAATGCAACCTGAGTGTTTTTCACCATTCATTTATTTATATATAATAATTAATGTCTTAAAAAAGAAAGACATCACAGGCCTTGACCTCGCGTACCCACCTGTGCGTCACTTTTATCAGGTTGGGGGCCGTGTACTCCGCGATGCTCCCAGTGCCGCTGTATTCGCCCACGTCTCGCTCCTCCTCGTCACGGGCAATAGCAGCAATGGCCCTCTGCACCTTGTGCCTTTTGGTGATGTTCCTCGGCACGGCCGGCTGGAAACCGTCCTCCAGCCCGAAGTTGTACACCTCTCCGTCCAGCTCCACGGACACGGAGCGGATGGAGCGATTCCGCACATAGCTCGGCTTGTACTCTGTGTGCGAAAGAGAAAAGCGTGGGAAAAGGGTGAGAAACAGCGCGTTACGATTTGGTCACCTTTATGGTTCTTAGGAATAAATGGCCTATACGGTGACACTTGGAATTAACTGGATGAGCAATGGTGTTTGGTGAGGTTGTCCCTCAGAGCTGCTGCCTTACTGCCTTTTGCAAGGATGGGTAGTGCCTCAAACCATGAGAGGGGGCCGATGCAATCCAAATGCAGAGGGATGGCAGGAGGGAAGGAAGAGAAAGGCAGTTTCGCTTGAAGAGTGAGCAGCAATTTCCAAGAAATTCTGCTCTTCCCCCCAGAGTCACCAGATGGCAGCAAGATCCCAAAAACCGCAGCAGCAGCAGCAGGAGGGATGGCACCATCCAGCTGCAGCCCCGCTCTCCACAGCCTCGTCACCTGCTCCAGGACAGGTGTGAGGACCCTTCCCGGCTCAGTGCCGGGATCAGCGGGACGTGTTTCGGGGCCTGCCACCTTGTGCAGCTCCGCGCTCCTTCTTCAAGGTAAGAGCCTTCACTCTGTGGAGAGGGGCTAACCCTGAAGCTCCCCCTCCATCCGATTCTACTTCTTTTCTCCGCAGTGTTTTTCTGAGGTACAAACTGGCCAGCGAGGCCTTGACAAGGCACCGCCGGCAGCGCTACGAGGGCCTCACTTGGCCTCTGTGTTTGCGGTGCAGAGCTGAGGTGAGGCGCCTGCCCGCGCTATCGCTGCCGCTTGAGGCCTGGTCCCTCTGCCATCACTGCTTGCCTGAGTCCCCTGCCCCAGCACACATCCCCGGAGCATCTTTTCTGCTTGTTCTGGACCTGCAAGGATGAACTTAGCCATGGAGTTTAAATCAGTATCTGAACTTCCCTAATGTGGGATAGGATCCACCTGGGGCCACTATTTCCTACTCATTGTCCACAACTGCTCTGAGTCATTCCTCACACAGATCGTCCTGTTCCTTGGGAAAGGAAGCCCAACTGGACCAAACACAAGCACGGAGCCGCGCTCTGCTCCGGGCTCTTGCTCCACGCGTGGTTTGGAGGCACCCAGGACAGAGCAGCAGCTCCCTGGGCTCCGCTGTCCTCGACACAGAGCTGCAGCAGCAAATGGTGCTGCACGGGGCCGGACATGAGAAAACACCATCACTGAGCCAGTCCACGCTCCGTAATATTGCCAGCTTCCTCTATGGGACAACCTCCATGGCAAAATAAGCAGAGGAAAAAGAAAAAAAAGGGCAAACGGACGTAGAATGCAGCCAAAATTGACAGAAGAAGCATCCGCCCCCCTGGCACCAACATCCTGACACCTTCTCCAAGAGCTTTCTACAAATTCCAAAATGGTCACAGGCTCCAAAGCTGTTTGGATGATTTGGGGATGAGAAATGAACATCTCTTCCCGCCCGGAACAGCAGGGAGCTGCTGCCAGCAGCACGAGCACCGCGCGGAGCAGGGCCGGGCCGGCCGGGCCGCACGGCCTCCGCCTGGGGCTCCAGAGCTGCTGCTGCTGCTGTTCAACCAGGAGAGTCACAGCTGGAGCAGGGGGAAGACACAAAAAGGAAAACAAAACCCAAACCAAAGAGCTGATTTCAGGCACCCATTCAGGAAAGGTTTGAATAAATGAGAAGGAAGCTGGAGGCTTCCACAGGTAGGAGGAAATTCCCCAAAGCTACCCCCTGCTAATTATATTCAAAGTGTAAAGTCCCATTTCTTTAATTGCTCCCTCATTTCACCTTGTCAAGCCCAGCCAACCAGCAATTTCCCTCCCTTCCAGCTCTCTCATGCCAACCCAGCTCAGCAAAGAGCTGCAGGGAGCTGCAGCCCACGCAGGTCTCAGGAGCACAAAAGCCCAGGAGTCACTTCTCCCTCGAAGCCAAACCCTAATCCAACCTGCTAAAGAACAAATTGGGCTGGAGCAAGACAGCTCACGACGGGCTCCTCGCACCGCATTACCCCACAGAGCTGTGGGCAGTGCCAAACACCAGCCTTGGCAGCAAAAATTGTTGAGAGCCCAATATACACGTGCGAGCGCCATGCACCCGTGTGCACTGAGGCTGGAACTCCCAGACTAGTCCCTCGGTTCTCCCTCGGGGCCAAGCTTTGCTCTGCAGGTCGCTGGCCTGCACACACAACCCCACACAAAGCAGATGCAGATTAAACATAAACAGATCAAACATTTGGCTCAACACACCCAGGCCCATCTCAAACTGCGCAAGTTTGGTGAGTTCTGTGGGCCCCGATACTCCCTTGTCTGCTCTTGCAGGAGGCAACTGTCTTGAGCGGGTGCTGCTAAAACGCTGTATCCTCAAAACTGACTCTGCAGGGGGAATCTGGAGCCACTTAAGCCTAAGGAAGCCAAGCACTTCTTGGTGCTGCCGTCATCCTGCTTTGTCTTCTCAAGTCACTCGAGGGACCCGCTACCACCGAAAAGGAAGCAGGCTAGAGAGGTCGGGCTGAGCTTTCAGAGCTACTTTTTAACAGTATTTCAGGTTTAACAGTAACTCAGGTTTCAGCACTGGAGAGTGCGAGCATAAATTGCAGTATCTGAAATTATCGTTCAGTTGACTAAAGTGAGATAATGCTTTATTATAAAACCATAAACTTCATATCTGACACAAACTTGCCCAGCCTAATCCCAGCCTCAACACTCGAGCCTTATTACTTACTTTGCAGCTGCCAAATTCATGATTAAACGCTGAGATCATTCAGAAATGATAGTTCTCTTAGGGAAAACTGAGAAGCCCGTGACCAACTGCAACTGCTTCCCCAAAGCAGAACCGCGGCGCTCCCGGGCTCCCCCGCTGCCACCCGTCCTGTGCAGCTGCAGGCTGGATCCGATGCATTCACCAGCACCATAAACGAGCACAGGATAAGGCAGCAGGCAGGAATCTGCTGTTAAACATGTGCCACACGGCAAAATCCCACCACCAGCCTTGTGAACACCAACAGGAGATACTCGGAATTGAGTAGAGAAGTAGCACTTTTTTAATAACACCAAAGGAAAATCAGGCACTTTTAAATTAAAGTTTGGACGATCTCTCAAACATCTAGAAATACGGAGAGAGAGTTAGAGGTGATTTTTCTTAAGCATCAGGCACAAAGGGGATTCAAAAATCTTATTTTAAAATCTGTGTCCTTAGAGACTTCAAGGAGAAAAAGAAATCTGCTGAAATCCAGTTTCCTACAACAGCCACTAAATATTTTACATCATTCTTTTTAAAGTAATAGACACTCAGGGATTTTGCATAACAAGTAAAGTCAGGTCTTTAGGACCACAAACACAGGAATTTTGCTACAACATTGAGACTATCTCAAAAGAAAAACTATGAAAATCAGGGTAGAAATGCACTAGTCCCTTTTCACAGACTCCTGTTCCTTGTTCACAGACCTGGGCAGCCTCTCCTTTCTCTGCGTGCAGCTAAGTAACTCCTTTAATCACACGCGCTTGCTTATCACAGTAGGAAAAGATTAAATTCACAGCAAGAAAAACACAATAGAGCACAACGCAGCCCACCGTCGCTTTAAAACTTTCCTCCTATTGCAAAATTTTGCTTCATTTTTTCTTATTAAAACAAAAGCACACCAATGAGGACTGAAAAATGCAGATATTTGCGCAATGTTGCTGACACCCAAAGGCATATACACCAAATGTTAATGTTTCTGTGCTTCTAGCACTAAAAGCTACTGAATTTATTCAATTTAGAAAATATTCTCTCTTGCTAAATGCACCAATGCACCTGGTCAGGCATCTGGGTCACGTCTACATTAGAGAGCAATTAGTTCATCACAACATTTGGTGCTCAGGCCCCTCTATCTAAAATTTATGTGGCCTTTGGCAGGGCGGTATTTGGTCTGGTCCCCTTGGCCAAGCCTCCCCCCTGTGCTCGAGTGGTTTGAATCTCCCTGGAAGCCTCGTTGGTCCTTGTGCCCCGTCGGGGCTGGAACGCCCCGATGCGCCGCAGCTCCCGCAGGAGCTTCCTGCAAGTGACGGTCGATTAAAACGCAGCAAAACTGCTCTGCAAACACATCCCTGCTGCACATGGGAAAGGGAACGACCAGGGGATTCCCTTCCAAACGCTTCCTGCAAGTGACGGTCGATTAAAATGCAGCAAAACTGCCCTGCAAACACAGCCCCGCTGCACATGGGGAAAGGGAACGACCAGAGGGTTCCCTTCCAAGCACCCTATCGCTGTGACCCAAAGCATTAATGCAGATAGGACCTATTCTAGTTTGAAACTTCAATTTTCTGTTTACTTATTGCTCAACCCGCCAAAAAGCACTCACATCCCTGCTGCACATGGGAAAGGGAACGACCAGGGGATTCCCTTCCAAACCACCCTATCGCTGTGACCCAAAGCATTAATGCAGATAGGACCTATTCTAGTTTGAAACTTCAATTTTCTGTTTACTTATTGCTCAACATGACAAAAAGCACTGGTGGTGCTGACAAAACGCAGGGGTGCTGCAGGACGCCATGTATCCACCGGGAACCCCAAGGACTCCCTCAGAGCTGTGCAACTCACTTCATCTCCCATCCTAGCACTCATAAAACACCCCCACACAACCCCAAAATCGCAGTCATGTCCTATTAGCGTTTGCAGAACACGGGCTGCAAGGAAAGGCTCTAGTTTATCTTTGACAATTTGCAGTCCCGTGAGCCAGACTGCTAGGAAGGTTGTTTAAAAAAATATCCCTGGGATGCTCCACTGGCTTGTGTTGCATCATGTTCATGTCCTTTTGGGATGCAGTGTATTAGATAAGTGAATGTGAAAGAGTAGGTGCTGACAAAAAGCAGGGGTGCTGCAGGACGCCATGCATCCATTGGGAACCCCAAGGACTCCCTCAGAGCTGTGCAACTCACTTCATCTCCCATCCTAGCACTCATAAAACACCCCCGCACAACCTCAAAATCGCAGTCACGTCCTATTAGCGTTTGCAGAACACGAGCTGCAAGGAAAGGCTCTAGTTTCTCTTTGACAATTTGCACTCCCATGAGCCAGACTGCTAGGAAGGCTGTTTAAAAAAATATCCCTGGGATGCTCCACTGGCTTGTGTTGCATCATGTTCATGTCCTTTTGGGATGCAGTGTATTAGATAAGTGAACGTGAAAGAGTAGCCGACACCAAACGAGTCTGTGCCCACAGGTCTAAGGGAACGTCTGTCCCTGTGCAGCACAGCCTGGACGTGGGCAGAGCAAAGCATCTGTGGCCAATTATCCCATCCAAGACCCAAGCAATGGGAACACGACTGCCCGGATCCTCTCTCGGGGTGCCCAGGTTTGTGCCTCGTGGTTCAGGGAGGCACAGGGAGCCGAAGGGCACGGTGCAAACGCTGCCTCCTCCAAGCAGAACCCTGGGGAAGGGATGTTCCCATCCTGCTGATGGTATCTCTGCAACCTTCACTTTGCCTCAACCTCCTTCACACACAAGTGAAAGGTAATTATACACTTAATCACCTCCTCTGGATGTTGTGAAAATTAGTTAATGTTTAGGAAGCATATCACAGATGGAAAGTACTTAAATAAGTGTTAAGTATTATTAGATAGCATTATGTTGCCCTCACTTAAATTGTTTTCCTCTTCACATTTAAGTGTCTTCGATTTACTCCTGTTATTTGACTCCCCATAACTAAACTTTTTTCCTGTAACTTACAAAAAAAAAAAAATTGAACTGCAACCTCTAGTGTGATTTAAAGATTACCTGGTGTGCCACATATGTAAACAGCAAGTATAGTTGAGTAATTTCATCCTGGAACCAATAATTTTTTTTCAACTAAAAATTAGCTTAGTAGGTACTAATAAGCTTGCAAGGCAAATATAATGGGAGAAAATCAATTTAAACTCTCTGTTTGAAGCTTGTGCCAGGTCATTATAGAGAAAGACTAATCTGCTAAATAATTAAGGCTCCGCATTTGTGGAGTGAGACGAAAGAAACATTGCAAGTGAATAATAATTCTGTGCTGCCATTTGCCTCTTTAATCTATAATTAGACTAGGTACTTCAAATATAGATATTAGCCTAAGGTTTAAAACAGAGCCAGTGGAAAGAGCTTTCTGAAAAAGCACCTGCTCTGTGCCAAGGAAAGCACAAACAGGCTCATCCCCTTTGGATGTGATCTCTGGTTAAAAGTCAGCCTTGACTCTGCTGACTGAGCATGAGGAAAGGATGTCAGAAGCAAAAAGCTTCTGTAACAAAGTGCATGCATCCTTATTAAAAATAAATTACTGCAGTAGCAGCCTGAAGCACTGCACTACCTACTGAAAATTTGAGTACTTGCTATACAGCACTGTTCATGGCCTATGTAAAGATGTGCTGCTTGCCATCTCAGCGTGGGTATGGCAATTCCTAGTTTCAAAAGTAATTACTATAGGACCATATTTTTTATAAAAACATTTCTCTTCCTACAAAATGAGGATATTTCCAAGTCTGATTGTCCAGTATGAGATAGGCATCTAAATATGAAGATGGGTAATAGATAATCTGGTCTGCAGGGACATATGTAGGATTTCATGTCCGTGAATACCAGGACAATTATGGGTGTTTGAGAACAAACTCATAACAGTTTTCTAAGGCAGAAACAGAAGATGTAGGGGATTCACTTACTCTTCTTGGAGAAGAGTTTCTTTCTCCGTCCAACGTGGCTCAGCTTGTACTCGTTCTCTTCACAATTGCAGTCTTCACTGTTCCTGTTGTAATACTTGGGCAGAAGGTTGGAGGTGCCTTTGCTGTTGCCTGCAGCTGCCAAGCTTGCCATTCCCTTGCACTTGTGCAGCTTGAGCTTCCCGCTGGCATCTTCCACACACTGCCATTTCTGGAAGAAACATTTGATCAATAAAACTCTGCCTCCAACCCTCTATTGCCTAACGGCCAGCTGCCCTAGCAGCGAGTCCTCCTTACTGTAGGCAGGACTTTATCTATTGCCCACGAGCAAAACCCGGTTCTTAGACTGTTCTCAGACAGCACAGGAGCTCTCTGTAACACTCTTGCATTTGTTTCTGGGAGGCAGAACAGTGGGAATTGCTTAATAAAATCAATATTACTGTTAAAAACATGGTGAGGGGTCCCAGAAGAGAGACTTGTGGGATGAACCAAGGAAGCTCAGCGCTCATCCGCAGGTCTGAGAAGGATCCCTGCTTACAAAGAGCTCTGTTTGGCCACCAGGAATCTGTGGCACCACCACACCATTGCCACCATCACACCCTCCTGCCCCAGAGCCACTATCATTCAGCTGAACAGACCCAGGCCTGCCTATAACCTCTGCCCCCTCCCCTGCCCTGTTGGAGGGAAGCAACTTTCCTGAGGAATTTCCTTTTTGTTCCTAGCTTGGTGGTGGGATGGATTTATTCAAACTGTAGATTTTTTTTTTGTACCCAGCTATCTGAGCTGATAATCTAGACACCTTCTGCCAACAGAGAGGAACAGACAGCAGCTGGGTACAATTCATTTCAACTTAAAGCAGACATGTAAAAGAGATGAGAAAAGGACTACCTCACAGGCCCTGCACAAGTGCTGTTTATCTTCATTGACCTAAAAAGGGTCTAGATGACTGGATCAGCTACGGATGTCTGCGGTTAGATGAGATTAATTCCATCCAGAGAGCTCCTCTCAGGAGCTTTTCCCATTCAATACACTTGCACTCGATTCAGTTTAAGGGGGAGCTGAACGGGATGCCTGTAAAATGATAATCCCTCTTTCTCTCAGACTAAAGAGAATCTTATCTCTAATCCCGATTCCTTCTTTTACCTGCGGCCACTTGCTTATAGCCCCTTTCTGCTTCTGCCAGAGCTGGGTTCAAGTGTGAGGGAGTTTAGTCACCCCCAGGTTGGCACAAAGGCATCTACCCACCTCCCAGAGGTATCACAAAACAATTTTACCTACTCTTTTATTTACCAACACACAACTAGCTTCTAAACTAGGCTTTGGGATACATTAACAAAAAACACAGTAATTGTTATTAGTGTCACTTGGAAGCATTTCAGCTTTTTGCCGAGTCTTGAGAGGAGTTCCTTCTTTCCCCTATACAAAATCTGAGCTTTGTGCCTCCAGGACTTACTGGGGTATCAGTAATTTCCCAAATAAAAGAGCAGATAGAAAAACAGCAACAGCTCCAAGTGAGATGACATTTTACGGTCAGCCTGGAGCTCTGTGCAGAAGAGGCAATCACCTCTTCGCATAGAGAGGCGCTCCCAGGCCTGTGCAAAAACTTACATTTCCCAGGGAAAGCTGCCCTATGACGTGCAGGACAGGAGAGTAAAGAGAGCAGCGTTGTGCTTGTGCCGTAGAGACTTTAATGGGAGCCAGCACTGAACTGGCCAGTTACATTTGAATCAGCTACATCCAAAGTGAGCTCCTCTGTCTTTTAAAAGTTTGGGGGTTTATAACATGTCTGCCCATTTCCGTAGAGCTGGACGCCAGGTCTCCTGAGCAATAATTATTTCAGAGAGGCAGATGTTATGTTCTATCTCCTGTATGATCCGAGCCGTGTGCTGACGTAGACAAACCTGGCTAAACTTTCAGCACAAAAAATCACAGGAAATCAGTGACAGACACTGGCAACCAGATATTTAAAAGCTACATCACTGCATGACTGTCTGTCTCTGTAAAGCAGGGTATGACTTCCTAGGAGATACACAATAAAAAAGCCTTTGAAGAACCAATTGCTATTTCTTTCTTTTTTTTTTTATGTCTAAATGGACTGATACACTGTTCAAGTTGAAGTAAAAGTTATTTTACCAAAATGAGTCTTTTGCCGTTAAAAAAGTTGTAAAATGTTTGTTGTTGTTTCCAATTTAGGTTCATATGAACCTTGTTTTGGGAAATATATGAACGAATTGTACTTTCTGCTCAAGAGAACTCTCTGTTGTACATATCCATTGTATTAATAATAAAGGCCTTTTCAACAGATTCAACAAAGAGTTAAATGCCATGATGAAAACTGCTGTAAATAAATGCCCTGATGTGAGGTCCAAAATATTTATTCTCCATTTCTTTAATCTCCTGTCAAAAAAGAGCAAGTGATGCTCATTTTTCCCCTCCAGCTGAACTGGAAGAATTCCTTTATTTTTTGGTGCTTTCCAAGGCAGCTGTATGCTAAAGTGAAAATATCTTCAAGGCTTTGCTGGAAGGGCATGGTGTATACATCAACAGGCCCATTGCTGAATGAATGTAAACCACTTCACAAGCAAACATTGAATACATGTTGCAATAAAGGAGTCTCGGGCTCTTACTTTTCCTCAAAATAGATAAGGCAAGTGTGAAAATACATCTGGGATCCTGTAACTTATCCTGCTTGCTTGTAAGTACAAACACAAACTCAGCATCGTGGTTATATCAGATGTGATTCCCCAGGATCTTTCAAACTTAGGGAAAAGGGCAGTGGTAAAAGCGGAACTGCGAAAATCCCTACTTGATCCCTACTCGTTGTGAATTCTGGCATTTTAAATGTACATCTAGTGCACAACATACAAAAACCCGTTGTCAACCCCTGGAAGCAGCTAAAGTATTTTATAAAAGGTAATCATCTAAATAATTAAGTCCCTATATAAAGAAGTCTAAGTGCCCCGGAGATACTTTGGCTCACAGTCACAAATGATAACCATCCAGTAGCAAAATATAATTACATATAAATAGTGGATTAACTCAGCCAGCCAAAAAAGCAAAGTGCCCTTAGTTCACCATTTGCCCCCAACTTCTCAGGTCTTTTCTTCATCAGTCCAAAAGATATATTCCTCATTCAGGTTCTGTGGCCCATAATATCTCACAGGAGCTAAGTCCTGAAAGGTAGAGCAGCTGTAACACAAACTAGGGAACAGTGGAAAACACGAGCTCTTCCACACTCTTTATCCCAGCTCATGTCAAAACTCCAAAGGAAGAACCTTTTTTTCCTTCCTGTGCTCAAGTCATCAGATAAATGGCTTTTGCAGAGCATTCTGAAGCCCATCAAGTTAACGTTGTGCAAGACTTTTCAGACACCTTCAGTCATCCCAGCTGTTCCAGCTGGAGATTTCCCACCAGTTTCAGGCAAGCAGTGCCAAGGCAGTGCCTGTGCTGGTGCTTTCTGCCACCTACTGCGTTGGGCTTGTTCGAACACTTCAATCTCTACCCGACCTCCCACTTCAAAACATGCTACTCACAGTTCTTCCCGTGTGATTCAGAAGAGCCTTGGCTATATTTAATGGAGAAATTAGTCCTACTTAACTGAAATCTGGTTCAAAGGTAGGCTCTGAAGTTGGAGAGAAGACAGCTTGTAAGATAAATTCCCCCAAAGCCCAACTATATGTTATATGTATCAACAGTAGTAAATCAGGACTTCAATATTAATGTAACATGAATCTAACAGCAGCAGTTGTATTGCAAATAGATGCTCTGCTTCTCTTCAGCAAAACTATTAACCTTGAACATGCAAATGATCCCCTAATGGCAAAGACATGCACTTTCCTGCGTGTTAGAAAACCATGATTTCTCTAACAACCTCCATCACCATCAAGTGGTTTTGCATTATTGTGCATCAGAGCCTTCTTGCCACTACAGCAATTATGGATGTTAATTCAAAGTCACTACTTGAGGGCCAGTCAGAAATAAACGGCCATGACCTTCCCAGTAGGATTTTTCATGCAATTCACTCATTTCTTCAGCGAATCTCTCTCAATTGACATTGTTGTCCTTGGGGAAAAAAGGGCTAATCACAGAGTCCTGCTAAGAGAAGACAAAACGTACAGATTTGGGGGGTCTGAGTCCTAAATAATCAATTACATCTCATCAGCTTCTCTTTTTGTTAAGGAAATGAGGTACAATTCCCTCTCGCAGAGAAGGGAAAGGTGAAACTCTGTCTGATCTGCTAGCAAGGCTCCCTCCCTAATGGCCTTAGGATTTTCAGCTCTAGGATGGGAGGTTTCTCCAAGACAGCGAAGTCCCTCTGCCACCAGCACCCCCACAAACTCCCCTCAGTGGCACTCATCCACCTTAGCTTTATGTGCATGTTTTTGCACCCCATTCTTGCTGCCACATTGGATGGCAAGTTCCAAACAAACTCTCAGAAGGGCTAGAAATACTGTAGCTTCCAGTCTAAATTTATTTTTGAGCAGTAGGGCCACATTTTTCTCCTGTATGAGAAAATGTGCTTTCTTTAGTCTTTCTCCCACATTGTGGTTTTCTCCTTGTGTTTTCTGGGCTAATCAGGATAATACAGCAAAATCCATAGAGTGACACAAGCCTCTTTCTCTACGAGAGGTAATTCCACAGCTTTGGCTGGCAGCTCATCCTTCTGCTCAGATGTTACAGGTTTCAGTAAACAGTCAACCTCAATTTCCCCTTGCCTGCCTCATACACATTACTATTTCTCTGTTCTTGTTGATTGAAAATAATTGGCTCCTGTCTTCTGTATAGTATCTCTTAGATTCATGCAGACAGATGCGTCTGTCCTCAGTTGTTTTTTTATAGACTGAATAAGCTCAGTTCCTTCGTTCATGCTCACAAAGCTCATTTTATTAATCTTTTATCATTTTGCAGGGGGGGAGCGGTTCTTCTCTGCACCTTCATCCAATTTATCCATCAGCAAAGGATGAGTCCAGCTTCCCCTATTTCATGTCATTACTATATAAATAGTGCTTTCTGTTCTGTTTTTTTTTTTCCCTTTTCTTTCTTTTCTTTTTTTTTTTCCTCTTCTTCATTCCAGCTGGACATTATCTCAGACTCAACTGGCTCATGATTTTTGGAGAATATGACCTCTGTGCTCTCGGTTCAAGTTCAGTTGTCAATGACTCACTCAAACCTTAAAATTACAAGAGGATTTGACAGGAAATTTGGGGTCTCTCTAATATCACAAGCCATAGCTGAAGTGAGGTAGCTAGATCAACCAGCATGCAAACGAAAATTTAGGCGAACACCTCATCTGAAGCATTGTAATTAAATGTTACTATAATTGCAGCATGGCATCAATGGCCCCAGCTGCTGTGTTAGGTGCTGCAGAAGCTAAAGAGTGAGCGAATCCTTCGGCCAAACCAGGAATGGGCTAGTGGTGATGGAAGAGGCCAAAGCACTGAGGGGGGAACGGATTTGTCAGGGGTCCCACACCAAGCCTGGAGCAGTCTGGAGCCTGAAGCCAGTCTCTGACCTCCACCGTGTTGTCTTTTGAGCTAACGTACAGTGCTCCTCGTATCAGGAGGTTTTTAGCTTCTTTTTTTTCAGTCAATGCCACTATCAGGTTTGGCAGGGTACGTACAGCACCCACTACTGTATTGACAAGGAATTAAAATAATCTCTGTTAACAAGAAATGCAAATTTCTTGGTTTTGTGAAGCAAAAAATGAGCAAAAAGATCGTAATAGTAAAACAGCCTCTGGACATCATTATATAGGCTTTTTCTGACTAAAAGAGGAAAACAGCATTGTTAATTATAATTCTTGATAAGGAATACAATCGTTGAATAAGAGTCCTTAATAAACCACTGTGATTTTAATTTTCATGGTTAGTTGCTTCCTATTGTTATCAGTCAGAGGGCTGATAAAATTTTTACTGCATGAAGTTATCAACAAGTCATGGCTTGTTGTAATCGCAAGTTAAGAGCCGGATCCCGAAGCTGCTGAGCACGTGCAGCTTCCTCTGGAAGTCAGGAACTCCAAAGATCCACCCAGCACGCTCCTGAAGGTGTCTGGGTTCCAGCTGGTTTGATATGCTTCACTGCTATCAACGGGCCCTAAATTCCTTAGTAACCTCGGGATATCTCTGCTAGCTACTACGGAACTGGTGAACCACAAGAGAGAGATCTAAAACTTTCTTCCCTGTTGTTAAAGAAATGCCTGAAAACCCTGATTCCCAGGTCTCACTAACATAACTTCAGGGCCCTCAGGAAAAGAAGAAAACATAATCCATTTTCTCTACTGTTCCACCCTTGGCACTGCACAATGGCTAATGATAATTACAGTGGCAGGAATATGGTCTAGGGATGCCATTTGGAAACTGCCGAAGGAAAGCATATATTAGTCACAATGATTTTCATCACTGCTATGTCAGAATTTGGGGGACCTTTGGAGTAAAAGGCATGCTTTTACTTATGGTAACTTCATGCCACTTGGTCCTTCCTTACAGGAAGAAAGATCCTTCACGATCCTGGAACAGCACAAAGTGAGCAGGGACGGCCGTATAACCAACTTTTCACTTGCAGAACATCTGCAGGGAACAAAGTGCAAATTTTTGCATTTTGAATTTTCATGGTCATATGAAATATGCTTTTTAAAGACATGTAAAGTAGAATTCTACTTGTATTAGATTTGCACGCAAGTGCGGCCTTGAAAAGAAAAAAGTTTGAAAAGGAAATAACATAAATTCAGGCAGCTCTTTTCTTGCAAATTAGAAATATTATTATATTAACCCAAGCTTGTTAAAGACAAAAGTCTTATTTTTTCAAATGCACAGCACAGCCTCCCTATAGCAATTGACAGTGCTGCAGGTATCGCATATGTAGCAAATATGCAAAACGTTGGCAAATGACTTAAAGGGAGATTTTGTGCAGCTGTTGTTATGATCCTGAGGAGTTGCTGGGAATACTCCATAGAGCAGTGCTGCTATCATAATTGGCTTCCACAAAAGCACATTAATGCAGACCGCCAGATAAAAGTGGGTCAGCTTCCACTTACCAGCCAGTTTAGAATGAAAGGCTGAACCACGCTGAAGAGAAAGAATTTGTGTGTAAGCCATTAGGTACCAGGATAAATGTTTTTTATTTCATGTGGGAAGAAAGAGCTCATCTCTTAAATCCTTGAATATAAATGCTGAGCTGCTCTTTCATCTGAGGCTACAGTTATCCTTTGTTGGATGCAAATAACTAACACGGCCCAAACCCAACTAACTGAAAAAGGAAACATGGCAACACACACATTCCCATTGCGCTCGGAAGCATTTACATATATTACGTTGCCAGAAAGATCCCACATAATGAACTATGAAACAAGGGTTTAAACAGCATGAATAGCCTCATCTCCATGATCCTGGTGCTCCCTTATCAAAACGATTATAGGTCAAGGAGGGTGGCAGAGATTTGCGAAGGAAGAGCCTTTAGCACGATGGAGCAGTGTTCACAAGCCCGTGCGCTCACCAAGGGGGATTGCAGGTTCTCCATCCCACATTCACAACTTTCTTTACCTCTCCTCTAAACCTCGTCTTTGTCTTTTCTTGTTCACTCCCCTCCAGAGTCTTTGTCCTCCATTTGTGCTCCTCGTCTCCCTGCTCACCCTTCAGAGACTCTGGCACTTTCCGTGCACAGAGTAGCAGCTTCCTCAAAAGTGATTTGAGTCAAGAGAGAGACTCCCAAGGACTTCAGCTTCCGCTAAGTCCTGACCCCGACTCCACTTCATCTTTATACCAGGATCTGAAAATTCATCTCTTGTACTAAATACTCCAGATACTGTTAAATGCACAATAATTAAGTGCCCTGCTGGGTCAGTAAGCCCCATATCTGTACAAAATAAACATCCCCAAACCAGTGCAATGTTAGTGGTTTGGGCACATGCTACTTCCTATGCAGAGCTATGAACAGCATCAGCAAACAGTCACAACCATTTGTCATTTGAGAAGTTATTCCTGCCTCACTCTGAAAAGACTTTAGGGTGCACCCACATTTAGGGACAATTTACCCTCAAATAAGCACATTCATTTCCCACTGTTCCCGCTGTCTAGACAGAGTATGAGGACATATTCTCTGGAGTGGGGGTTAGGTGGATTGAGACTCCCTCGAGAGCCCTTCCCAGACTCTAATTGACTTGATTGTTAGGCAATTTTTCCTGATGTCCAACTTAAATTTCTTTTTTGCTCAATTTCATCCTATCACTTCCAATTACGTGTGACTCAACTGTTCAAAACAATTCTCCTCCTCCCAGTCTGCTCGCAGTGAGGATGCAGTGCACACATCTCTTATTAGCACACCTTCACTTTGAAATGTATTGGCAATTCTAAGTGCAGAGTTGACACGCTTTCCTCGCTTCCTACGGATGTCAAAGATACTTTATTTTCCACAGAGAAAATAGAAGCCTGTGCATGTGTGCAGACAATATAAGGACGTCTCCTTCTCTTCTATAACTAAGACATGTGGTAATTATAGCACGAAAGCCTGAATATGGCTAAGTTACCTTGTGTAAAGAGACAGCCTCAGTGACAATGTGGTCTTGGAAAGTCTCACTTCCCCTCTGTTCTTACAATAATATTTAAAATAATTGGGAAGAAAACGAGCAAAGGAAGAAACTGAAATAGCCCTCAAAGGCAAAATACTGACGAAAAAATTGGGAAAATACTTATTTCCCCAAACTACTTACTGGATGATTTTGTAGCAGAACCAATGACTTTTCCCCTGATTTCTCAAAGAATGTGTCAAATTTGAAAAACAATGGCTTGCTCCCACCCATCTAAAATTTCAGCTCTAAACATTTGATGGCAATAAACTACTGCACAAAAGTTAGCACTTCCCTAACGTCACTACTTTCAAGAAAAAGAGGACGTTATGATCTCTTTCTCCACTAAAAATGACAAAGAAGCACTGAAGGAAAAGAGCAACTGGAAAATGTTTGTGCTTATAAATTGGATCCAAATACTTAAAGGACTACAGACTCATTTCACAGAGGCCCCGAGTTATGTGGTCTATATAGCCAGAAGCAGGAGGAAAACACACACACAGCCAACGAGACAGCTCCGTGCCCTTTTATACACACAGAGAAAGCCTGTGGTTGAAAACTGCTTGTGTTTTCACTGTATATTTTTGCTAACAGCAGGGATATAGCGAGTTCACAGAATGTTACTACTATGATACACAAATCTAATAATAATGAAAGGTATTAAATTAAGAATTCGAAGAAAGGAAGCCATGGGCACTTGGAGTAGGCTAATCTGTTAGGCTCACTGTAGCTTCCCATCAGTAAGGAACCCCAAACCACGCTCTGTTTGGGGAATATAATGTTAAAACAGTCTCGGTTGCTCTCCCTCAGCAGTCAGAAATCAATATGAGGCCACTTGAATCAGCAATTTCTCGACTGAGAGCAAGTCTCATAAATGCCATACATAATGCAGTTCTGAGCAAAGACCACATAATGAACCGTTTGAGTGACAAGCTGGCATTGACAACAAAGGGAAGGACATTGTCACCATCTGCAAGAGGTGACAAGGTTAGCCCAGCTCGGACTGCTTACATTCAGTCAGGGGCTGGATGCCTCACCTGCCCAAGCTGTTCACAGGCTGTTTGATACTCAGCTCGCTGACAGAGGTCTTTTACACGCTGGTATTTGGGTAGGAAGTTTTCTTCTTGGGCATCTACCTTCTCATTCTCTCTCTTATGCAGCAATTTACTGGAGTGAAAAAAAAAAAGAAAACAATATGAAGCTTAATTCCAAGCGACGCACATTTTGCTGCAAAGGCTCAGACTAGCAGGCTACCTTCAGGGTCTCTAGCACTGTCATTTAAATCACCAACCAGTTTGCTGCATGGCTGCTGGGCAGGCAATAACAGCACCCCATCTCCAGGATGCTGGGCCAGAGCTGCTTTTTGCAGCCTCTTCCTGCCCACTGCTACATGTGAAGGCAGAGGCAAGGAGGGCATGGGCAACAAGCAGACAGGAGAGGTTATTTGTTCTCCCATGACACATATAGGAAGGTGGAGGGCAGCAGCTAGAGCAAAATCTGATGTCTTTCCACTCCCAATTGCATCGTATTCCGTGCAGGCTACAGGCAAAGGATACACATTGCCTCCTTGGCCACGGATACGCATTGCTCCTTGGGCACAGCCGCTGCTGTCCCCGGGCACGCTGCAGCCCTGTCCCTGCTGGCACAGGGCTTTGGGCCGTGGCAGAGCACTGCTTTGGCTCTAGCTATTCGGTGGCCTTCTGCTTATAGAGCAGGCTTTGCAATTAACCCTGTCCTTACCCCCGCTCCACCAGGAACGAGTCCCTCCACACTTTCATCTTCTTCTTTAAATGGAACCTGGAAGGAGAGAGGAAATAAATTTGCACAAAAGGAATAATCAGATCATTCCCTAGCTTTCTCTCCTACCCCCAGTTCAGATGAGAACCATTACATTGGCCTCTCGAGGGACCGCACAGCTTTATGAAGCAAGCACATAGCCAGTGCTAATCACGAACCAACAGAACACATTTGTTCGCGTAGGGACAAAATTTGCAGCAGATTCACACAGTTTAACAACTATTTCAACCTAGGCACTTTTAAGGCACCGGGGATTAACTGAATTGTCCTTGATCACAAAAGATTGCAAATTAAATCAGGATTTCCTGAATTGAGTTTGGGCTCTTAACCTGCACACCATTCCCATAGTATCCAATTCTAAAGCAGCTGCTCCTATTCCCCCTCTCCCTCCGCCCAACTACTTATAAAGCAAATCTCCTTCTTTCTCTCTTCCTTTATACTAGCTGCTGATTTTCTCTCTCCAGTCTAATTCTCTTCCTCAGCCTTCTTCTAATGAAAGCTATGATGAAAGGTCTCAAAAACAACAACAAAAAAACCCACTCTGCAATTTCGAGTGTTCATTCGTCTCTATATCATAGTCTGATACACAACCAACCCTTTCAACTCAATTATTCCACAGTTTATTCAACATGAAATGCCTTGCTACAAATGCTGCCACAGAGAGGTTTCAAATCTACAGCTCATAGAGCCAAAACCTTCATGTGCAGCCCACTCACTACTACACTGCCTACATTCAGTATATCCAGGAACTGTACCCATACAGCTAATATATGAAGCTGACAAAAAATAAATAAATTAGGTCAGTCACATACATTTTTCTAAATAGGTCTTTAGATTTTCCTATGAATTATGGACAGATGGTAAATTTATTACATTTTCCTTTAAGTTTAGCTGCATGTTGACGAATACTTGCCCCATCCCCTATCCTTTATCCTATAAAAACACATGCACTTTTCCATTTCTTACCTATTCACTGGTCTCTCAGAATCTAGAAGCTTCAGAATGGATTTACCATCCATGTCAGAGGGAATATCAAGTCCAGCAATATCTAGAATTGTAGGTGCAAGATCAATGTTCAGCACAATGTGAGGATTCCTAAAAAATATGTATGAGAACACGGGTTAGAGTCATCAAGCAACTATGCTGACATCTGCAAAGAACAAAGAGGACCCAAATCCAATGCAGTCAGTACTGAACAGAACCAAAACGTTAAGCATCAGTAAGGACTTAGCTGCAGGACCTCAACAGGGACTAACATGAAGATTTAAACTTTGACACAGAGTATTTTTGAGAATGTAAAGTAGGTCATAAAACAAGGTTAGTTAATCATTGCAAAGAAGGGTTCAAAACTCTTTCAAAACATGAGAAATCTCCTTGGGTGTCTTACAGAATTAAAGTTTCTGCCAAATATGCTGATAATACTATTTAAAAAGTAAATTTGGCAGGTAGCACAGGCTTTATCTGTTTCAAAATATGGCATAGACATGAGTTCACACCATAGCAAGTGTGTTCTGAAGAGAACATGAGGAGAAATACATTGCCAACCACTACGGCAAATACCACCAAGTGACTGCTGAGGTAGAGCATGAGCCAGGAAAAGGTAAGCAGTCAGGAAAGAAAAAAGGGAGAAAGCAGTTCTAGAGAAAGCAGGAGTGTGTAAAAGAACAGCTTTAAGTCAGATAGTATCAGCCTTCCAAAGTGGAAAGATCTCCATCCTGCAGCCACTTAGGAGCTGCTTTGGCTCTGAGGCTTCCGCACTGTTTGCTCTGTTTCTTAGCAGAGTAGTGGCATGTGCTGCTCAGCCACCACAGCTATCCAGGCAACATTTGGACTTACACCGATTTCAAACTAAATTCAAACCTTGGTGTCAACACCACATGAATACAGACAGTTCCCATCCCAAATCCCCAGAAGCTGCCACAGCTAAATACAGGAGGGTTCCTGGCTCAGAGCATCTAGTTACACAGTCCAGCACCCAGCATCTCAAAGAATGTCCCAACTTCTAATCACATCATATGGGTCCAGTTTTGCAGAAGTGCTTGCGGTTTATGTTGCCCCTAACAAATTTTTTGAAATACATCCATGTTGTTGTTGTTGTGAAGTAACCCATACCCTCCTGTATATACATACTGTTTATCAGCTGCACAGCATTTTTTGTTCTTATTTCTTACCAAAGTATACCAAGGAAGGCACTTTTTCTCTCTCTCTCTTTTTTTTTTCTTTTTTTTAATTGGAGAGAGAAAAAAGCCAATAAACACAGTGCTGTACAGACAATCTTCTAAGAGCTCTGAGCATCAGGAATGACCCTGCTATGATTTCCAGGCACAAAGCAATAGGACAGATGGGCTGCTATACATGCCAGTACAGGATGCCAGCCCAAGACAGAGGACAGAAGAAAGCTGCTGTATTCACACTAATTAATAATCCATCATTTAGAAATTACTACCTTTTCTTGAGCAAGCGGGCAAACAGGCACTGACAAGAGCACGGATGATGAATTAAATCAATGTACCTAATTTGATTTTAATTACTAATAATTGTGGTGTAGCATATTTTGTAATAGAAATGAAAGCTTAGTAATGACTTGCTGCAGTGACTACTATTAAATCTTCCTTGGTATCAAGAGAGAGTCACAAAAATTACTCTGCAGGAAAAAACATAAGGCTTATGAAAAACATGGATGATTGGATTTCTACCATGTAAAGAAATTCGGGCTGAAAGGAAGGATAAATTTATTATCTGACATGTTTCTACTCCAGGGTATTTTATCCTTTCTTCTGTTAGGTTCTGCCAGGCTGACTCCAGATACTAATAGAAAGATTTTTTCATCATCAGAAGGCACAGAAAAATAAAATTCAATGGGAAAGCTTCACAAGTTTCATGCCTGCCTGGGTGTAAAGCTCCATGAACTATGAGCTGGCCATCCTCCTGCAGGAAAACTGCAGGAAAACTAGCTCAGGCTGCTTTGGCCACATCCACATTGCCTCTTCATTGAGATCAGAAACTGCAATTGAAGGGAGAAATACACACAAACACCCTATATATGCATGTGTGTGTGTATATATATATTATATAGAGAGCGTAGACATAAATATATACCTAGAACAAAACACACATGCATTTCTTTATTCAAGAAAGAGCGAGGTCTCAGGAGGCTATGCCATCTCACTTGAAAACACTTGTTGCTGCAGACAGACTTCTTTCAGTATCGCAGTATCCTGTTTATTTCCACCAAAAGACCTGCCCTTCCCTACAGTCCAGCCTGTAGGGCTGGTAGTCCCTGACCTGGTGTCTCAGAAAGCCTAACATGGAGATTCTGAGGACTGCGCTTTAGGAAGAATGGGTTTTTTTTTTGTTTGTTTTGGGTTTTTTTGGCTTGTTGAAATGATGAATCAGTGAACTGGACCAGCAAATGGATGGCATTTTTATAACTACTTGCTACTTACACACTATTACTCTATTATACATTAAATCTGGTCCTCTGAAGTAGAGAGAAAAAGATGTGTGTTTGGACGACTATACATGTTAATTATGCTAAAGCATGCATGCTGATATAAAGAAAAGACAGTAAATTACGGCACTGTCTAAAATCATTACTTAAGTGCAAATATTTGATATTGAAATAATTGCTTAGAAAGCATATTTACATAATTTCTTAGCTGATCAAAGCTACCATTTGAATTAACAGTCACATTCTGCACGCTCGTGCATATCTGACAAACAGCCCTAGCTACGTAGTGGCAAAGGATGAGCCAAGGAGAATCTTCTGTGGCAAATGCTATGTAAAGTACCACACACATTCCTCTTCACAAGCTGGAACAAGTGGCACCACAAAACGATTTAATTAATGTGTAGCAATAATTACCTATTGTTCCAGTGAACACTATATCATGTAGTTTCACCTGGAAAATGTATTACTTATGCTTTTTTTTCTTTTTTAAAAGGAAATAAATCAATGTTTCCTAGATTAGGCACATTTCCAAGTGACTTTCAACCTTGAAAGACGAGTGACCTGGGCTGCACACCTGTGCACAGAAAAGGCAGTAGCAAGAACCTTAATTATATATCAATTATATTAATTGATAGCACATGCTATCAATTCTGCTGTCCGAATAGATGTATTTTGCTGCCAAAGAAGAGCTGTTAGTTAAGCAAATTGGCATTACTTTGTGTCTCCATTAGGATGCCAAGTCAACATGATTTGAGATGTAAATATAATGGATATTTCTGGTCACAAGATACACGCACGCACGCACACTGGCCAAGAACTTACAAGGACCCAGCCTCCACATTTGGACCTCGAACATAGAAGGGAACTCTGATATCGAACTCATAGGGCATGGACTTTCCTTTCACTAGCCCAAACTGCCCAATGTGGTAACCATGGTCAGCTGTGTATATTATATAGGTATTGTCCAGCTCCCCTGTTTCAACCAGCGTGTTATAAATCTGAAAAAAAGCAAAACAAAACAAACATGACATTCTTTGCATTACATAGTACCATATATAGAGAGAATATTGGATACAGTTTGCTGTCTATGTATAATCTACACATAAATAATAAGACCTCAGCATGTCACTCAGTCATCATGATGGACTATTCTAAATGTCACGTAATATATCACGCTAACCTGTATCAAAATAAACTTCGCTAACACAGAATTTCATCAATACAAAATCAAGGTTATCTGTTCCAGTAGTAAAAATATACAAACTTTTTTTTATTATTTTGGAAGACCATTAGACACACACAATTCGGTGAGAAAACAAAGCAAACAAACAAAAGCAGACCAACTTTGGGATTAGAGAAAAAAAATAGAAGAAATAAACAAAAAAACAATAGATTTTTGTCTCCAGTGAAACACAGGTATGAGAAAGTCATACCAAAGGAAAAATTTGTACTAAATAGAAAATGAAAATAGCATAATAAAGCCTAGCTAATACCCCCTAATACTGGTATCTGATCTATCTAACGGATCAGGTCCATTAATATGAAGTAGAGATCATAATTTCCTGAATCAGTAATTATAAGATATTACTATCTGGATGGCATTGCTTTAACTTGTTAATTTCCTCCTTGCCTTCAGGATTCTACTTATTTTATGCGTTACCATTATGAGAACATCAACAGATCAGCAGCACATTGCAACACCTTTAAAGCTGACTTTTTGCAAATGGAAACAAATCTGGTCGCTTTTGCAGAAGCCTTTTAGCCAGTTCAGATGTTTCTGTTCAAGCCACCCAACTGGTGCTGCAAGATTTCTGCAATCTTATTGTTACATAACGCAGACAACCGGAAAAAAAAACACCAAAAAACATATCCCCTGCCCCACCAAAAAACAAAACAAAACAAACAAAAAACCCCCTCTACCTATATATTTACTTTGTCTATTTAACAGCTTAGCCTGTTTTACCATAGTGTAATTTCAACTAGGGCTGCTCTAACTTTTTTTTTTTTTTCCTCCCTCCCTAGCTCTCTCAAAAAGCACTACAGGATTAAAATAGACCCATAATTAGGTTATTCGTTTCCAACAGACTATAGGATGACCTTTTACCATCAGGATATATACATCTTATAAATTTATGACGTGTATTTTTTTCAGATGATCTTTCTTCCCTTAATCAATAGCAAGTCTGAAGCAAAAAATAACACCTTGCTTACACCACCCACCTCACAGTGCCTATCTTTAGACGAGGCTCCTTACATCCTGAATAGAGACAATACCCTCAGAGGTGAAACGATGGCACGCTATTTAAAAACTCGAGCAGTTCTCCTCCTCCCTCTTATAGCCACACATGGCTCAAGCATTTTGTAGCTTAATTCTAAGGAAAAAGTACCTGTTGACCTGGGTAAAAAGCAAATACTAATCTTACCATCTCCATGGAGTCATCCACAGACATGAGGGTCTGAAGGCGCTTTCTCTGCAGCATGTTAGTGAATTCCATGTGTATAGGTTTCATGGGACCTGTATACCTCATTATCCAGTGCTTGTCTGGGTTTGGAGCATAGTTATAACTAGGAGTGCTAAGGAACAGATGGAAAAGCAAAATAGTTTAACAATGTAGAAGAAAAGCCACGATAATCTATACCAATAATTTCTATTTGATCACTGCTATAGGACTGACTCTTTGAGGTCCACAGAAAAGCATTACATTTAGTTTGGAAGAGTATTATCCTTTCATGTTCTCTGTGAAAGATGGGAGAATGGAAACAGCTCTGTGGGGAATAAAACCTACTGAAAGAGCAGACATACAGAGTTCTAGCACTGCTCAGACTAACACGGATACATTTCAAAGCCAATAGATTGGCCTCAGAAGTCTGACACCACAACTGGGAAGCATTATCTGCATGAAGAGCATGAACTATTGAATTTCTGCTCATGTAGTTGCTTTGCTTTCACTCTGCGCACATTAGCGCAGAATATTATTGTACAGTCTGTTTAACAACAACTATCAGACTTGCTGAGAAGTTACTGATAAGTAACAGCTCTTTTGAACTGAGCCTGACTGGTCGCTTGAATATTTCAGCACTCGTGTACCCAGAGGAGCGCAGGTACCCTACCTGGTGGTATCAATCTGCATGTGAGCTCATGGCAAGCAGAAGTGGATACAAAGCCGGATTTTAAAGACCTGCCAAAAAAAGCAGGGGTGAGGGGAAATAGGACTGAATTTTTTAGATACTTTCCAGCCACCAATTCTTTTGTGAACATCAGAAACTTTCGAGTTACAAATTGATGAGTTCACATGAAAGCAAGCTAATTAAAGGCAGTGCCAAAACCCCCAGGAGTTGGATTCGGTGTCCTTCAGGAACCTCACAGCCCCTTCCAGTCCTCATAATCCTGTAACAACATTGAAGTGATGAGGATGAATATCACTGACTGTATCTTAATTCATGTTGCTGGCAGTTCCAGAGATTGCTCTTCTGTGCATAACTATATTATTCTAGGCTAGCTAGATAGAAACAAAAGATTTATTTTGGTATATCGCTAGCATAATGTTGAGTCTCTAAATCACCAGCTCACTATAAAGGTACATTTATATCTATAGGCATTTAATAAATATTCCAAAAACGTTTGTTATTACTTCATACTGAGAACCATTTTTCTCTGTTTCTTCCTATCCTGGTTTAAGACAAACCACATGCAGATTCTAAAATATTAAATATTATTTTTTTCTAAATGATTTGTTATTTTCTTCATCCTAACATACAACTTCCTGACAAATTCAGCTCAGATTCGGAAAATATCCACTATTGTTTTTACATATGCAACAGAGCAGCAACGTAAGTTAGCAGGATAAACAACAGCAACATAAATTGAAACTTCTTGAAATAATGTGATATTAATGTATCTTTGATCATGACAGGTAATCTCAAAAGTTTTAATATAAATATGAAATGAATAATTTGACAGTGAAATATTTTATGTAGAAAACCTTTGTTGGATACTATCTGAAAAATGTGTGTAGGTAGCAAATGGAGGATTCTTCATATAGGGAGGCCAGCACTGGTGTTTATTCTCTGTGTATTGTTAATAGCCTCTTGAATTTCAGAACGTTATTGTGGCTGAGATAATGACATTGCTCGTTTGAAAATGCTGACAGTTATGGAAACTGTTGCTATGTGATGCCCAGAATGAATCAAAAATGCTTGGCAAACTCCTTTTCAGCTTACTTTGTGATTTCCTGGCTGATTTGAAACCTCCCACTGTTTAATCCAGCCAAAGCCTGTGATTTTCTTTGATTACTACAAATGTAAACCTCTTACACTTAACAGATTTGTCTATCTTATGAGCAAAATACACAAAATATAACATTCCTAGAATCTGGATAAGATGGTCTCTTCAAATGTGTTCAACAGTCAAGTCTTAGCCTGATTGCATTTGACCTTGGAAAGGGTGGTAGAATGTAACCTCTGCAGAAATAATATCTCTGATGCCCAACTGTTGCATCCTCTGCAGCTATCAGTACATGCTGTAAAAAAAGGAAAATCGATCATGTAGCCCAAGGATTTGCTACATGGACGCTGGCTGATAGGGATAATTTTCAAATAGACAGACTGCAAAGCCGTGTGTCAACCAGAATGAGCATTCCAGTCATGCCTTCCTGTGCCGGGTGGGAATAACGTGGGCACCAGCACAGCCACTTTACGAGCGCTCCTGCAGGAACAGGCACACGGACACGCTCCGTGGGGCACTGCCTTCCAGCTGTGGCACTCGCAAAGGCTGTTCAGTTATTGCTCTGGTACAACACACAAACACAAAAGCGTTCAACTTGTGTTGGTCTCGTGGTGCCCTATGCGCACCCACAGGGTGGGGAAATAGCGAGAACTACCCACAGCCCGTTATCGCTGGCAGATTTATCTGTCATGGAGGGATTCCCTAGGATTCGAGAACAGGGGAAAACATGGATACCAGAGGACTAAATGGCATATATAGTCAGGGAATGATGCACTTCCTGCATTTTTAGCTTCAGTCTTAAAACCAGACCAAAAACAACCCTTACAGATTAATTTTACGTAGTGCTATGGAAAAGTGTCTGAGATATAATTCCTTAACCTACTATGATTTTTTTTTCAGCTCCTTGCACTCTTTTTCATTGGACCACCAAAATTAATAGCTACAGAATGCTGTTTGATAAGTGACTATCATCTCTGAGATCAGATTGCCTTCCAAAGCAGTTCTAATAAGACTGAGGTCAATACTGGGAACTAGCAATAGCAGAAATCACTCATTTGGCATTTCTATAATTTTCATTTCAAAGGGAAAAAAGAAAAGCTTAAATGGCAAGCAAACATGAAATGGTGTATTGCTGTAGATCTGGGATACGCATTCTCTTTCACAGCACAGAATAATGAAATATATATTATTCTAAATTCTGTAATACTTATAGACAATAGAACTAAGGAAATGTTCTCTCTCATAGGCTATTTAAGTTGAGTGAAAAAGCTCAAATGTGTTTCACTGGATTTTGGATTAGTCTTAGGAATTAGATTCAGGAATATTGGTGACCAACTGGTTATTTCAATCAATTCCCAGTTCCTTCATAAATCCAAAGTAAAATGGAAGGCCCCTTGGAGAAAGTAAAAAAAAAAAAAAAAAGCATTTAAAAAAAATTACAAACACTGAACATCAGTGAAGGCACCAAACCAGTAATGAGAAAAATCTTGAAATGTTTTCAGTTTGGCTAAAACATAAGTTGGGAGAATCACTCACACGAGCAGCCTGTGAGGAGGTGTCCGAGCTGCAGAGTGGAGCACTGCAGGGCTACACCCGTGAGCAGGCCCTGTGACTACAGCCAAGAACGGCTCAGCGGAGCGCGGCGCCGCAGCCAACGCGCTAACAGGGCAACCAGGCACCTGGGCTGCTCCCACGGCTGTGCCAGGCGGCAGGCACAGACATGCCCGCTCACTCGCAGGCCTCCATTTCCGCTCTTTCCATATATAAAATAGAAATAATAGCGAAATGCACTACATGATTTTTGCTAATACCCATAAAATAATACAGTTTGTTCATATGGATAGGAAGATACAGTTTCTTCCCATGAAAATACTACAATCCAAGAACCAGATTTCAATCCCCCTGCGCAAAATAAACAGTGATTTACTTCCCAAAAAGTTTGTCACCATGCCCAATGAATTCAACATGAATCTTTCCATTTTTGAGCCACAATTTGAGTTCTAAATGTGGTAGCCATTCTCAAGATATTTGTGCTGTTCTGAATTAGTATAAAAATCTCCAAACATTCTGTGTACATGACAAACTTATGCCAGGAGTAATGTAAGGCAAATATTTTTTCATCCAGAGGTACACAGCACTTTTAAATTCTTGAACCTGGAAACACAAGGGTTTTCTTTTTCCTTACATGTGTTGAGAGGCATTAGGAAAGAGATGCGAATACTGAGGTGCTGAATCTTCAGGACCGTGAGGAGCAGCATGGCTTATAACCATCAACACAGGCCTGTGAGGATACATCTTCTTTGAGATTCTGAAGAAGGTAATACTGTCATTGGTGATGAGATCAGTTAGATAATCCTGGAAGTGGAAGGAAAAAGTGAGATATTTCAACAATAATTGCAAGCCAGGGAGTGAGTTGGCAAGAAGTCTGAAGTATCATATGAAACAGGAAAAAGGAAGCTACTTGGCTAAGAAAGGAAGGAGGAGAGAACACAATTTAGATGCTAAGATGGATGTAAAATCACACATAATGGCTGGCTCTGGTCAAGTGAACAAGTACTGAGTGTGGTGCAAACTGGATGGCATCTCTCCCTAAGCACGGCTTTCTGTCCATGTTCTCCTCTTTACCACTGCCAGTGTCCTTGACCTGAAGTCAGCTGTTATTCGTCAAAGAAGACCCTTTTCACAGACTGTATTTATCCTATTTTTGCCCTAAATTATTTTCTGTGCATCCCAGAGCCAGGTTGACAGCCTCTATTTATTATTTTATATATTGGTTTACACATGAGGCTTGTCTGTTACGAGACTGCTACATTTACGACTGTTACTGACATGATATTTTCAGTCATGCAAGCAGATGTAAATCACCATAATTCCATCAAGGTTAAATGGAGGAGCATTCCTAATGATTTGCAGGGGACAGGAGGAGGTACAACAAGCCAGTTCAAAGCAGAAATTACTTCTGAATGTCCACACAGTAACTGAGATCAGAACTCTAGCTGCAAATACTGCCGTGCTTTCAAAAACATACAAATTTTTTGTTTGTTTTTTTAAATTAAAAATATATATATTTTTAAGATGGCTGATCAGTGTCTTAAAAATCTAACTCATCCTTCCTTTGGCCTTTAAGAGAGCATAGTTCTCAAATTCCACCTTATGGATGAAGGCATTCAACCTGGTCAAAACAACGCACAAACTAAATATTGCGAAACCAAGTATTTACCAAGCCAAAAGCCCAAGGAGAAAGATTTCTTTTTTCTTTGTTTTTTTTTTTTTTTTTTTAAGACTCCAGATTTTGGAGTTGCAGTTGACTGTGGTAATGTATATTAGAACTAAAAAATTGATTGATAGAAAAAGAAATAAAAAAGAGGGAGTACTTTGAGTAGTTTTGATTTTCAGAGGATAATGCTTAGCAGTCGCTTTGGAGAACAGAATTAGTTAGGGTCTTTTGATTGATAGAAAAAGAAATAAAAAAGGAGGGAGTACTTTGAGTAGTTTCGATTTTCAGAGGATAATGCTTAGCAGTTGCTTTGGAGAACAGAATTATTTAGGGTCTCTTCTAGCTTTCCACTGGCATATGAATTAACATATTAATTATGTCAAGTAGAAAGGGTCAAAAATAATCTCTGAGGAAACTTCAGTTCATTTGTTCCTTGCTGGAAAATTAAATTTCCAAAAGAAACAAAAACAGCAGGAAGGAAATACATTCAGTCTTGTATTTCAGCTTCTGTTTGTTCATTTGAACTCCGATATTAACATCAACAAGTACTGCTGCTCTGCACACCATCATCTGTTCATTATAATAGCACTGTATTATGCAAGAATATGAGGATTATCAAAATGTTTATATCTTTATCAAGTTTTTTTTTAATCAAATTCAGTAAGAAAAACTGAACTAAATGAAAACCTAAACATTTTCCAGAACTATATATACAACACACAGCTGAGGACATCTGAACTTCAAGTTCACCGCTGGCCCCTTGTTACAATGGGGAATATTGCTCTGTGAAATCACTTGCCTGACACTGTTTCATTTAAAATTGATTTATGTCAAAACAGGGTTGGTAGCATGGATATAAAGATTAGCTCTCTCATTTTTCATAGATCAGAAGGGAAATAAAAGAGAAATAATTCAGCTCATCATCTGCCCCTTCCCCTTCACAGCTGGTAATAGAAAATGAAACCTTAGAAGCCTGTTAAATTTCATCTTTCAACACAAAGCACACTAAATTAAAGAAATATCAAATGGAGGGGAAAGGGATAAAATCACACAGACATCAGTCTCATAAAGAAAAAAGTGTCTGTGAACATGTTCTAATGAAGCAAAAATACGGAGGAAGGATTTGTGCATGATAAGCAGAAAGGAAACTGAATTTATGTTCAGTAAATACAACTTACAAATGAGTATTGCACAAGATAGAGAGTCAACTTTTTAAGTTCCACGCTACATAAGCTACAGCAATTTACTGATAAATTTATCTATAACCATATTCCACAGACTGTTCAGGCTATTTTAGGAAATCACAGAAGCTGGTTACTTAAGCAAGTTCACACTTTCAGTTCAAGTAAACACACCCCTCACTGCAAACATTTCACTCTCTGAGCTGCAATGAGTGTTAGATGAAGAAAAAGAATAATTCTGCAGAAGACAGTAAGTATCAAAAATTTTAATAAGTTTGGCAAGAGTAGAACATCCTTGCAAGGTTTTAAGGAAGTATATTGGTCTGCAACAAAAAGTGGAAATATTTAATAGTTACATTCTCCATTCATTCTGACAGTAAAGTCAGAATTATCACACAACATACCAGTACCTATGAACTCTCCATCATATTATGGCTGTGAAATGAGTTCCTTACATTAACACAAACAGACGGGCCTAGCTGGAAGGAGCTGGTTTCCAATCTCATTTACACTCGTGTAACTCCACTGAAATTAGTTCTCTACCATGGAAATAGATGACAATCCGACTTGGCATACAAAAATTCAAGTACCAAACACAGAAATCACAGAGAATCTAAATTCATTTTCATGTCTTCTGCTCATTTAATGTATTTACAGTCTCAGGATGTTTTGTTTGTATTCCCATTGCTGCTAAAAATGTTTTTAGTAACATGGCTCTTCAGCACTAGAAGATAATGAAGTCCAAACATGATGCCTGTTGGGCTGGAGCTGACATTACTGGCAGCAGCTTTCAAGAATGAAAAGAATTCTTTTGTCAGACTAAAACCATAGTGTGTTTGTAGCTTTCTTGCAGCTATATGCAAATGTTAAAAGCTTAGAAATCAGGAGGACCTACCCTGGAGTAGTCAAATCCATGCTTCTCCTTCACCCCATTTCGGCAGAGTGTGTAGTTATAAAATCGAGAGTTTTTAAGCAATCCAACCCATTCCTTCCAACCAGGAGGCACATAGGAACCATTGTATTCATTAAGGTACTTTCCAAAGAAAGCTGGAGGTAGAGAAAGCAGAAGTGTATATAGTAAGAAAGTGCAGCATAAACATACAAAAATACCATATTTAAATATACACTTGAATTTCTATCTCCTCTGACTGGAGCTTTGCTTTCTTGATACAGTTACAGATAAGGTAAGAGATGAATTATGAAATAACACGTAAAATTTGGCTTTGACTTCCCTTTATTTGTTTCCAAATTTGATTTTTAACTGGACTAAATAGGAGATGAACTACACCACAATTATAAATACATTTTCCTAAGTGCATGATTGCTCAGACTTAGACAAACAAAACAGAAAACATTGAAAATAGTGGCAGTTGCCACATTATCTCACCCTGTCCTGAATCACCAAATTTAGCTGCACTTTTCATTTTGGTTACACCCACTTAAGCCATCTCCACCTAGTATCTGGCAGCCACAGCAAAGCTCATAAAAGGAGGCTGGCTGGGGAGAAAAACTTACAAATAAGAACCATAAATATGATGAGATTTTTAAACTTGCTGCATAAAAGAAACGAAGCAGCAGCCTGTGTGGCAGAACAAGTGCTAGGAGAGTACAAGGATCCTTGCACTGGACTGGGACAGTGTCAGCATCTGAGACAGGCTCCCAGAAGAGCAGCCTAGCCAGGCTTTTATAAGACACAAGTGCAGAGACACGTATTGCTTTGCAAGAAATGGTTAAAAACACTCAGCACTAGAACTCTACGGGAAAAACACAAATAACAAATTTCCTAAAATATATGATGAACTCGGTGATGTTTTCACACCATTCCCATCAGAAATGTGATTTTTTTTAACAGTATATGCACTTCTGAATTAGTTTATATGTTGTCATCACCACACAACTACAGATATACTGGAAGATCCCATTCATCCAGCAAATTAGTTAAAGCTTAGAGGCAAAATTCTGTTTGTGAGGCTGCAGAGCAACTCAGCAGCTGAATTTCCATGCTCAGAGCTCTCAGGTCTCCACTTCAGAGCAGCCCTGCAACGCGTGTCGGCACCGTGGCTACCACGCTGACGAGCTCACAGATCATTACACTTGTTCCACCTGATGTTACACACATTTTTAATTCAGAGGCCCAAAGGGACTCACTGCCAGTCTATTAGTGAACATCTGTGCTTCTCTAGGGCAGCAGAAGATTGGAGATTCCTCATCGTAGTCCTAGATTAAAACTCCTCTCAAAACATAGGGGATTTAAGCATTCAGTCTCAGTTCCCAGGTTCTTAAGGATTTTTTTAAGCTTGCAGTCTGTAGTGTCTGATCCTGCAACCTCTTCTATTTATGTACATGCAAGGAGCAATAATGTGGAACGTGTAGCTTTTCACCTGGTGTAAAAGGGACCAGCCTTATTGAAGTCAATGGACCGACATCTATTTTAGTAGGCTGAATATCTGTCCCAAAGTAAGAAAGAGAGATACAGAATAGCATGCAAGAGAGCACTATATCATTAACTGCTAATGTTTTCCTTTCTACAAGGATAGGAAATGTGGCATTAGTAGCATAATAATATAATGGAGGTATATAATGGAATGGAATAATTTTAAGGGGAGTAGGCATATTATGCACTGAATGTCCATAATGTCCAAGTCAAAGTGCTTACGTAGAATTCAAAAGCACATTTTGAATCATCCTCCTGCACAAAATTAAGGTGTACTCAATCAAGACGTGTTAGTTGAGCCAAGAGAAACTGAGTGAACATTTGACGTCTTTGGAGGCATTTGAAAGAGATGGAAGTGCTCAAAGAAGTAGGATCTGTATCATGGAAGATGAGGAAGGCGCATCTATTGGGAGATAATTAACTAATAAACTATTTGAAATTACATCGTGCTTTTAAACTAATTTGGAAAAATAGGTAAGATGTTATGCTATTTTATAGATGAGCCACAAAAAAGAGTTAAGTAACTGATACGCATACTGCAGAAAGGAATTTGTCTCCCTGTCCTAAACTAACTCTTGATGCTTGCTCTGATCCCACACAGTAAATCAGCAGCAATGAACAAAGCAAAATCAGATAAAAACTGCATTACTTGCATCACTCACATTACTAGGCAGGAGCTCGTAACACATTTTCAAATGATTTTGTTCTATGAACTTCTAATTTTTAGAGAGTGAAAGGCAGCCCACAGTGACAGTGGGTAATTAAACAGTACAGACACACATTTCTTTCTTGGCCTGGTAACAGGGAATAATGGATTGAAACACTGACCACCATCTACAGCAGCAGATAAGCACAAACTGCTACTCCAAAGCTTTCTGTCCCTTATCGATATATTACATCCCCACAGAGATATATTTGGCATTTTTGCCCAGCCTGCTCATGAAAGCTGAGCTTCCAGTTTACCAACCAGTTAACCCTTGGCTGAGCCAGCTGAAGAACTCGGGAAAGAGGCATCCTGTAAAGAATGACTTCATTGTTATTCTGCAGAGGGACTAAAGGAAAGCCTGGCGGAAGTTCCTCCAGCACCTTCTGCAGACCCCCATTGTACATGCAGGATGTCTTTATAATCTTTCATGGATGTCTAAGTGCCTTAAATAATTTTCTCTGCTGTTTCCAATCTTTCATTTAACATCTTTTTTTTCTCCCTCCTTCTTAGCCCTTGAAAGGATAATTATTTTAAAAAATTCTAAACTTCATGCCTCAGTACTACAAAATATTGGGGTACAATAAAGCTCTCAATACAGGTGATTTTATTTTTTTTTTTGGGGGGGGGGATTGTAAAGATTCTAACGCAATTTTTGACGTCGTCAGATTCGTTTTCTACCAGAGACAGCTGCTCACTAGAGCACAGAAGCCGTCGGTACATCCAAGGCTCCAAGATTTCATTAACAAACATTCTCGGAGACTGACGTTTGAGATGCTCTGCCATGTTGCTATGCCCAGGCTATGAATGGATCACAACAAAATATCCACATGGCTGTTTTTAATAAATGCAGTAGGAATGTGGTTTTCTCTTGCTTTAAATACTACACAAAGCAGTCTCTCCTAAGACTACATGAAACAGGATATTCAAGAACTGAGCCCTTTGTACACTGTAACCATTTCCGCCGGGGTTCATAACCTTACGGAGTTCTTTTCTCTAAATCTTACTCCAATGATAAGCACCTGGAAAATTCCTTGGTATAGACTAGGATTTTTACAAGAGGTTTCTTTTGTTTTGTTTTGTTCTCAATCTCTTCCTGGAAGGGAAAAAAAAATGAGCATACAAAAATTTGCCCTATGCTCTCAATTAATAACAGTCTGATCTGAAAGTAATGCAATTGCAGATACATAACGTCTAAAGCTCATTGCTTGAAAAGTAATCAAGCATTCTGTCAAATGTTACATAAAGTAAAATCAAATGAACAGACACCCAGTCTCAAAAATGTTCCAAGAGTCTCTACTTACCGGAAAAATCAAGCTAATTCTATCTGTATCATCTATCAGACTCTGCAAGGTTTTTTCTTTATTCTTTAAGCAGTAATTCTTTTTTTAATACTTCCCTAAAAATAGCTTTTGAAAAAATATACACATTCACAAAGGATATTTATGTATCGTTGCACTTAGCTGGAAATTAAGAAGATAATTCAGGATGGATCAATAAATGATACCAGAGCTCACTGGCCCCATTTTGTTCCACAGAGGCTGCCCGACATTGAGAGCTGTTCGGAGAGACCTTCTCCTGCTCTCGCGCTGGGAACGAACGCTGCGGAGGCTGGCACAGGTTCACCAGCATCAAGCTAACAGATCGGAATTACACCCAGAATTTCAGGCTTCCATTCGCTCATCAGGTGATTCTGCTCGGATTCTGCTCCTAGCGGAGGAGCGAGGCTGCCCTGGGTTGGGGGATGAAATAGCCCTCTTGATACCTGAGGGACGTTATGTGGGAGAGGATTTGCTGCTGCTGGGCAGCAAGCTCTGAATTTCTACCACACAGCTCTCCTGGTGCCATCCCTTCATCTCCTCACGCTATTTAATTGTAACCATCTTCTGCCTTATTAGCACACCATTAAATTGCACTTATCACCATGAATGCAAAGTTTAACTCATGTTTTAAACTGTTAACCTGTACTTAAACACGTATGCTATGCATTAAATACTTTAACTAAGTACTTTAAAAAACTCACTTTTTAAAAAAAATCTTTTCTCTTTATGAGTATTAGATATACTCATAATACCAGTAATACCAGTATTAGATATACTAATAAAGATTTGTTCACACCTCTCAGATCTTTTGTGACTATAACTGGTATTACTTTTTCTCCACTCAGAGGTAAACAATTAGCTAAAGTTTCACAGAAAATCAGTTCATAAAAAAAAGGAATGCTTTATATCTAGCACAAATTATTTTCAGTACTTTTTGTCCTTCAGAAGACAATCAGAGGAAAGTGGGTGAGAAAGCACTCTCAGCAGGGCTAAGTGTGCATGGAATGAGCAGTAAGCCCAAAGGTCATTTCAGTTCTGTGATTCTGTATTCACATCATGGCCAAATATACTCTTAAACTGAAACATATAATGGAATCAACCCCAGTGAAATTAATGGATTTACAGTAGTATCACCTTTTGTGACAACAGGAAATGGGACATGGCTGCAAAAATTAAAAAATGTGGCCGTAGCATCAATACCTCAGTAACTATGCTAACTCTAAAGGGCTGCTTGAAATACTGTTATTAAACATTAAAATATTTTCAAGGAGGAAAAGTGAAGCTTAAGCCCACGTTTTGTTTTCAGATCCCGTTATTTCGATCGATTTCAGCATGTTAACGTAGACTGGTCTCTAAGGGCTTTTTTGCTATTTCTTTTCTTTGATACGTCTGGATTAGCCTTGAAATGACAGACTCATTGAAGCACTTAATCAGTTAAAGTAAGGGGAGAAGTATAGAGACATATACATTTTATTTTGGTTTATTGCACATGATGCCCCAATTCTTCTCTATCCAATAGGACACAGATAACAAACTTTTCTTGAAGATCTCATGTTCCATCCACCATCACAAGGGTATTAGAAATAGA